AAACTCTGAGCAACAGGGTCACTAGTTTGATTCCTGGCCCAAGCTGAGCTGCCAACAGGTGGCAGGATGGCTCAGCTAAAAAAAAAACAAAAAAAACCCCTCAAGATATGTATACATTACTTTTGCACCCAGGTATATATAATATATATTTATACATAATATGTTTAATATATATAGTTATATATTCCATATATTTACTATAATATTTATATTTATATTATTGTATATTACATATATTTATATATTACATACATTTATATTATATATCTAATATATATCTAATACACACACACACACACACAAAGCAAGTGAGCCCTGAAATAATTAGGATTCTTTGGTGAAAGTAACAAAATCCCATTTGAGCTAGAGTGAGTTTTTCAACAGATTTATTTTCCAACAGATTTCTAAGCAGAGATTTCGTTTTTTATTTAAAAGAGATTCACACTTACTCATATTAAGATTTGCATCTCATCACCTCCTCGTCAGTAACTTCAGCACATTTGGTGATAACTTACTCATTTGTCTGTTCTTTAGTTAGCAAATGTTTATAGAGTGCCTACCATATGTCGAAGACACTCTAAGTCCTGGGGATTCAATGAATAACAGAAAAGATTCCTGCTTTCTTGTAACTTATAATGTAGTGAGAGAGAGGGAAAAAATTAATTGAAAAAAAATCAAGTTGAGGAAGCATAGTATGAAGGAAACAAGGAACGTGATAGATAATAACAGCAGAGACTCTTTGGATAAAATAGTCTGGGGAGGATTTCTGATGAGGTGATGTTTAAGCTGTACATAGGGGATAAAAGTGGTATTATGGAAGGAGATGGACAGTGTTCCAAGTCGAGGAAATGCAGTAATAGGTTGGAGTATCTGATGAATTTGAGGAAGACTAGTGTGGCTAGTGTGGTGAGCAAGAAGATGAAAATGGGACCTAGAATGAAGCTAAAAAGAGGCAGACGCCCCGTCATGTAAACTCTCTTAGGCTATAACATGGAGATTGGCTTTTACTCCAAGGGTCATGAAGATTTCCTAGCAGGAGAGTGATGTGATCAGATTTATGTTTTAAGATGATTCTTGCTGCTCTGTGGAGGGTGGATTAAAAACAGGTAAGAGCGGAAGACAGAACAGTAGCCTATTGAAGTAATCCACGTGAAAGATGCNAGAAAAGAAAAAAGTATCCACTTTAAAATTAATGCACACTGATAGCCTGGCTTCTAGATCCATCTCTGCAGAGGGCTGCTGCACTGGCTGTCACTCTCCTTAGGCCCCTAGTAGCAGGGGTTTCTTTGAGAGAATAGATGATAGATGTGGGAATCCCGAACTTAAATTCTACCCAGGGTGGTAGCCCTCAACTAAACACCCTTTTATTTCTTCAAAAAAGAGAGGGAGTCCTTCTCCTTGCTCGTTCTCCCTTCCTCCAACATTATAATCCTCTTTCTGTACAACCTCAGCTCCACTTAAAGGAAGATAAACTTTCGCATCATTCCACAGAGCTGTTTACCTTCCAGTTGCCTCAAACTCTCCCGCCTGTAATCGTTTCAGGTCTTTTTTGTATGATCAAAAGGCCTATTGAATTTTTCTTTTTCCAAATCGAAAGATCAGCCTCAAATCTCAAATGATAACTGCCTTTGACTCCAGATAATGAGAAGACTTCTTATGTGAGTCTGGACTACTGATTGAATATAACAGAAAAAAAACCCCAAAAAACCCCAATATCACTGCTTAAATAAGATAGAAGTTTCTCTCTCTCTCTCTCTGTAAAAGAAGTCTAAAGATACACTTCAGGTCTGGCTTGGTGGCTCCAAGGTCATTAGAGACCACAACATCTTCTATTTTGCTTCTCTGGCCAGGTGGCCAATTGCTGGCCACAGGAAGCAGCAAAGAGATAGGAATGAAGAAAAGACTGCCGCTTTCTTCTAGAGCAGTGGTTCTCAATCTGTGGGTCGCGACCCCTTTGGGGGTCGAACGACCCTTTCACAGGGGTCGCCTAAGACCATCGGAAAACACATAATTTTGATGGTCTTAGGAACCGAGACACCGCTCCTCTATC